GGACGGTGCCGCCTTCCCGGGCCGTTGAGTGAAAACGCATCTAACAGCAGCTCCCTGTTAGGCTGGTAAATTCCTGACATGAGGCGCTTTGCCTGGTGCGTTAACATTTTCTTTTTCACACGTCGAAACATTGCCGTAGTTCCCCCAAAATCTTGCAGTTAATATTTCACGAGGAAACAATGAAGTGCCGTGTGTTTATACCTCAGCCAAGGACCAAATTAAGACCAAACTAATAAAGCGTAGGCAAGGGCCTTACTACGTCACGTGGATTATGACATACGCAAGCTTTGAAGTATGCAAAATGTTTTAGATATCACCTTTTTCCCTTGCGCGTGGCTGCTTTGAGTGGAGAAGAACATTACTGTGTAATCTGGCTTTCTTTACGGAACAAATGTTTCTGCTGAACGTTTCTTAAAGGGAAATTCAGTGTCGAAAGCTGCTCAGCCTAAAAAAGAAAAGGAGTAAAAGCTAAAGGCCTCTACCAGATTCATGATTTTAAAATAAGGTCTATAAAACGCCAAATAAATAGTCCTTTTTTTGTGCTACAGGCACACATTAGACAACACAAAGCGCAAAACTAACCTGCCTTGCAAATGCCTGCTAGATATGTAAAACAGCAGAAAAAGAGAGCAGAGCGTTTTCCCCTCTAAATTTTGAATGCCTCTTATCTTAAGTAGTGTTGCTACTAAGAGCAGGTCAGATAGCAGTACATGCAGAGTATAATATTCCAGAGTAACTTTACTTAAAATGGTGAGTTCAGCCTGCTCTGTTCCTCCCCTGCCGACCTGCGCTGCCACCCATTTGCGGGCTGACGGTGCTGTCACAGGACTGGGCTTCTTACCAGCAAAGAGCATTGGACAAACACATTTCACCAGTAATTGGCTGGTAGCTGATTTAATCAAAAAGTGCTTTGAATTTTGTGTCTGGATCCATAGCTCTTGCCAATTACCATCAGTCATCTACGAGCTCAGTCCGGCTTCGGAGGCCAGTTGAAGTTTTCTCACAGTGAGAATGGTAAGACTAGACTTTATCACACCTCACTGCACCACATTTTGTCTTTATTTGAATCCGACTACGTTTGAGATCATCACTGGATTTTTTTTCCTTTCTTGCTTTTTGTGACATTAGTATAGTTTTTTTACGCAAACCCGCCTGCCCCTCGGCAGCGTGTGCGTCTCCTTCCATAGGGATGCAGAACGCGGGCGACTGGCTGATTTCACCTTCTCAGCTTCTAGCACTGTGAGTTGTCTGCTCACCGTGTTGTAAAAACACACGCTTGTGTACTCCGGTCTCGGTTATGCCCAAGCCGAGGTCGAAAGGAGGATCCCAGTGGCTGCAGGATCGGGACCTGCATGCTAACGCGCCATGTATGCACAGCATTAGGCCTCACGGTGCTGTGAAGAACAAATGCTTAGAGGTTTGGTGCACAGTCTGAAGCGATATCGCTGGCGTGATACTTTGCCATCAAAATTAACACCCCTGAATTGACGAACTCTGGTCTTCAGAGCTCTGGCTGACAGAAGTCCTGGCAACTCTTATTTTGCCAAAAATAAGGAAGGCATGGCAACAGGCAGGTGGGTTGGCAAACAAAGGCTTTCTCTGTCTTTTGGTGTGGTTGTCTAATACAGACAGGATGCCTAAGAAAAGACAACATAAAATGGAGGAGAAGAAAAACCATGAAATGGAGGAGAGGACAAATCTCTGAGCTGTGGTGTTAGGAAGGTAAACAGACCAAGGCTATGAAAAAGCATAGTCACCCCAGAAAAGTTAGAAATGTACACGTATGGCACGATCGCTCATTACAGCAATTTATTCTTCAACATCCTCGTATCGTTTACAGCACATTGAAATCTATAAAATAAAATCTAGCTTTAAAAACAGAACAACTGCTAAAGATTCATTTTGAGGTTATGTAGTACATGTAGGTTTAACCGGTTTTCACCACAAAATTTACATTTTCAATTCCCCTTCCCAGCCTCTCAGCCTGGCATTTTTTCTTTCTCTCTTTTTCCTTCCAAAAAGGACACGAGATGGATTCAGACTGTCAGACTGCTGTCAGAGATTACTGCATGTGCGAAGTGTACACTCATTTTAAAACCGTGTTCATTACAATCTCCAAGAGGAAGCTAAACTGTATATTGAATAAAAAAATGATGAAGGAAATGCGTTAATACTTGAATATTAATTAACTGGGGAATCAAACTACCTCAGCCCATGCAAGGCTAGTATTTTTTACAGCTTGCGCTTTGTTAATCAAAGCAAAATAAAGCAACCGTTCAAAATGAAGGGAAATCGCATAGCGTGCACGGAGGACCAATCAATAAAATTTAAGAGTTAAAGTTTCAGCGTAAGTATTTCTGAAAAGTCTCAGATCAGCATTTTTTGTTCTGTGTGTTGCTTGTCACAGAGTTAAAAGGCAGTAACTTAGGGTGATATTGTCAATTTTCTGCAAAACTGTTACCAACTTCAAGAGTTTCATCCACACATTAAAGGAATGCGCCTAGAACCTTTCTTTTAGGTCATTATCAAGTCTTCTTTATTACAAAATATATTTTACTGAATAAAATGTTTGAAGCAGGTAAGAACGGTAGAAAATAAGTAACTGTTTTCTAGAAAATTTATTTCTTGCTGATTCATATCTGAAGATAAAATGTGATACTCATGTCTGTCACTGACACGACCATAGCATCGAAGAAAAGGAGTCTGCACACTCCGAAAGGCCCAGGAAAATTCCTCTCATGACACAGGCACAAAAGTGCAAGACGGTGAATAAAATACTGCCTTGAACCAAGCCATTATGTGGATTATTTATTTGGTATGATTGCTGTCGACAGTCCTCATACCTGGTGAAAGTGCTGTACTTGTCACATATTTTTAAAAATATTTTGTACTTCCAGATTTTTTTGGTATGTATTAATTACAGTAAATGCATCGTTTGGCTATTGACCAGGACTATTCAATAAAACTTTGTTTGCTCACTGTTCTGATTAACAGTTCATGGAATTAGCTTTTTAATCAAATCTGTGAAAACACTTGATTTATTTCAGTAAAGTAAAACCTATAGTAGCTGAATAAATTTTTGATCAGGTATTTAATATTTCTTATTCTAAGTTTAACCTGAAAAACATTTTTGCTACTAGGTAATATTTTTGGAATTAAGCAACATTAATTTAGTAAAAATGAAGGAGGACTTGCCTGCTTACCTTTTCATTAGCTTTATTCTGACTTCTTTCTGTTTTCTGTATGTCAAAACTTAAAATCTTCTGGTTTTCCCCTCATACATGAAAAAAGCCACGTATTCTTAGGCTGTAAAAAAAATACCCCAAACCGTAGAGCTTTCACATTGAAATCAAACACTTCTAAGCTACTAATATTTCAGTCCTTATTTAAATACTCAGGAACAGAGGCAACCAGAGAGTACCTCTTGTTTAAAACGTCATTGCTCCTCTGATTTCTAATAATTTGGGAAAATCTTACATATTATAAAAGCTCTATTTTCCTCTTATGTTACTAAAACATATATCAGATCAAAACCCTAAAAAACTTATTTGAATATATATTTGATTATTTCTTGTCAAATAAAAAAAAACATCACCAGGAGAATTTGCACAGTTTATGTCTAAGTTTATGTCAAAAACCTGAGTAATAAAAGGGTGTAAGGATTTAGGCTTGCGAGCAAGCGTTACTGTGATGTACTAGACAGTACATCCTCCAGGATAGCAGCTTTGTCTTTTTGTGTGTTTGAACATATTTTAAAGTCCCTCTAATTAAGTGAAAGTCCTGTATTTACTGAATTTTTTGGTCATTCTCTTTCTCTCACAGAGAAATAAAGCTATGTAGTTCATAACGTGTTTGCTCTTTCTCAAGATAAAGCTCTAATGTCTTTGACTAAATTTGTGGAGATTTATAAATGAGGCCTACATAAAAGACGCTGCCTCGAATGTCGGATGGAGAAATACAAAGATTCCTGCTAAAAAAAAGTGGAAATACTACTGTAATTCCATGTCTAGTCCTGTGTCACAGACGAACACAGGATGTCATACTCACAAAAATGCAATGAAATGATTTTTTTAGTGATTGTATATTAGTATTGTCTCTTTGTAAACAACATTTTCTGGTATAAGCTTTTAAATGGAAATTTTTGTTACTTTTCCAGTGACCTGACACATCATTTACAGATACTTCAAAGTTGTACCTGCTGCTCATGCTACTCAGGCAGCACTCAGATACAGACGTCACACAAAGTCTTTTACATTTAGCCTTATTTTTTAGATGCGTTGAGAAATGTCTAGTCTGTATGTGCTTTTAAACAGTAAACCAAGTACATTTGAAATTTGTCAATGTTTTAAGTAAGCCTTTTTACATGTTTATACACTCGATGGTAAGATTGTAGCCTTCCTGTTGGAAGCCTGTGAGGAGGATATTATGCTCTATTGTCAAGAAGCATTCACAGTCTGTCACATTAGTGCTAGAGATGTGTATAGAAGGGTAATTATTATAAACTGACATCCAGCAAATGTAAGTAAAAATAGATAAACCTCAAAGGAAAATTAGGCTGTATATTTTAGGTGCTGTTTGTCTCCAGATGTTTAATGTCAGGACACTAAAATGTTATTTAGCATAGCACCTAATTGGTAAAATAATTTTGTATTTATATAACGAACAGAAATGTGATTTGCCTAGCTCTGCACTTAGTTAGCTTATTATCAAGATAGATACATACAAAAATACAAACAGGGATTATCAGTAATCCAGTATTTAAAGAGATGCATGGTATAACCAGTATTTAGAGAGATGCATGGTATAATATTTTTAATTCTATTTATACAGTTCAGCAGTAGCAAGCAGCAAAAGTATTTCAATCCACTAATGTAATATGCAGTTTTCATTAAAAAAAAAAAAAAAAGAAAAAAGAGATGGAACAGATACTACAGCAAGAAGGAGCACTATGTGGCATTTTTTGCTAGAATTAATCCTGCTGTCTCATGGAAACATTTGATTCTGGTCATAAAGCAAGGCTTGCACGCCAAAATGATAGATGCCTTAAAAGAAGCTTTGATAAATAAAATCCTGCAGACCTTGGCATTCACAGTTCACTTTTGGCAATACTGGGGAATGGCTGAGTAACTGTTAGGAAACAGACTTATTTAAGACGGTTTATTGCATCTGAAGATATTAGGGCTAGATCTGCAGCTAGTGTAGATCAGTGTATCTGTCTTCAAATTACTTATATAGCTTCGTGTCAGCCAAGAATCTGGCCCATATCCATTATCTAGAGGGAATATCAACTACTACAAAGCATACTTATCTAACCAAAAGCAAACTTAGTGTGCGTGGCTCATTGATGTTTCTTGTAACACTCATGTTAACCTTTATAATGTGATAAAAATCTGGCACAGTTATGTATGGTTGCAAATGATCTTGCTTTGATAATATCAACAGTTATAAATTAACATTTATCACTTTTAATACTGCTTCAAATATCATTGATAAAAGCTTAACTCAATATTGATGAGAGGACTAGTCATTTAGGACCTTGCTGTTGCTCTAATTAACTTTACTGGGAGCAGAATTAGGCCTCTTCTCTGAAACAGATCTGCCTATCAAAGTATTATAGAGGTGGGGTTTTTTTAATATAGTGTATTTTTTGTGTTCTCTTTTGGTCAACATGTTTTGTATGTAGTGACAACCACATTTTACAGAGCCACTAAGTTTAGACTCCTGACTTTTGCATATAAACAAGTGTGTTATTTGACCCAATAAAATATCTGAGAGCGAAGTTCAGATGCAGGCATCTGCAGAGTCCAAGTTAAAAGTTTTAGTTTAAAAGACTGCCCTGTGAGACTCAGAATAACATAACAAACTCTGGCTCATTCTTCATTTCTTTGGCTCAATTAGTGAAAGATGAAGTTTACCAATTACAGAATTTTGAGCAGTAAACACCAGGCCTAAGTAGTATCTCAGTTAGTGGTTATAGTGCTGCGACCGTTAGACCACTTCATTAACCATTCCAGCAATAACATACAGGCAAATCAGAGCATTGAAATACATGGAATTTTACACGTGCTGAATTGTCCACATCATTTATATGACACCAAGTCTTTTTCAGGTTGTAAGAATAGTTTTGATATTAAAAATACAGTTGTGTTTTCTGCCCATTTTAAAACGGCAAATGACATCATGGCCAGTCTGAGAAAACAAAGAGGAATGCTTTGGTGACCAGAAGTTTACTATATTGGCAACGCCACTGAAAACTACGAGTGTCCATGTACTGTCTGTTTCATGCAAGATTTAGTTGTTGTGAGAGAAAACCCTGATGGTTGGTTAGTGAATTAGGTCAATAAGCAGCAGGAT